GGAACCACAGCTGAAGAGACACACAGTGTAGCCACAGAGCTGAGTTCCTAGGCTGGGAGTTCAGTCAGTTAGTTATTTATTACTCTATAAAATTATCTTGTTCATTTGTGGCTTACTTGGTTTATTTCAGCTTTTTACATGAGGAAAATGATACAAAGGAAAAAAGGGGAGAACTAGGGAAACCTTGGTAGACACTTTAATATTACTACCTTATCACATGATAATTGGAGCCTGAAAGTGAAAGAATTTCCTGTTAGAACAGAAATCTAATGCAATTTGAAAAGTAGCTATCATTGTAGGTGACAACACTACTATCTATAACAGTGCCATCCCTAAGGCCCTGTGGAAGGTGGTTTGAAGATCACCCTTGTACCCTAACCTCAGTCACCTTGGGAAGATATCAGTAATCACACACCTTTTGCTCTTTTCTTCAGACCTCAGTAGTTATTAGTGAACACATTGAGATGTACAGGTCAGATTAAAATGTAACATAACACAAACCCCAAGCGTCCTGAGAATTGTGATAATTACTATGAAAATCTATGACAAGATCAGTCACTCTCCTAAGGATAAGCCACTTAAGAAAAAGTGATGTTTTGCTTCATTTATGGAAGAGTGATTTCCAGGTGAAAAAATTTGATGAAGGACATTGAGGCAGAGAGGAGTAAATGACTTGTGGGAGGAAGAGTGGACAGAATAGAGAACAGCAAACCCCTCTGCAAGCTTAAAGAAGGTGCTCCATAGAAAAGGAGAAACCTAAAGAAGATGGGGGAGGTAACGGGGATTGTAGGTTGGAAAGCTGCATAGTGAGTGAGTTATATCAGAACCGAAGGGTTAAAAAAATGTAACAACAAAATTTTAATTTGAGTCTGTCATTAGCAAATGTGGTGGAAATCCAGTCTAAGGGTAACTGTTACTTGTTATTAAGGTTTATCCAGAAGGCCAGTGTAGTTCCAGATGTGTGAGATGGCCAGGAGTTCAGCATCATCTTCTATACAGGCCTTGTCATGTGCTGTGGTTCCCCATCTTCAGGAACCTTGGGATTCTTCTGTACCTTTTGAATCTCTCTAGACACAAAGAGGCCCTGGCTTGCTAGCCTGAGGCTGTCTTCTGCACATGCTATGTAAAAATCCCTGTCTGCAGTCCCACTCCAGGGTCTGTGTGCATAGAAAAAGGTAGGTTTCTTAGGTAGTTACTCATTAATGAGACACTATACCTGACCCTCTCAACTTTCAGGAGGTAATCTTTATTTTGGCTAATGCTTTAGAAGTTTTAGTCTTTGCATGGTTGGCTGCATGGTAGAAGGGTTTGGGTAGAAGAGGACTGCTCACTTCATAGAAGCAGAGTGAGAAGGGAGGAACTCACTAGAGAAATATGCCCTCCCTGTGACGCCACTGTGACTAGCACTTCACAGCACCCAGCTAGGTGTACTGTACCATAGTCCAGGCAGCTTCCGCAAACCTTGTCCCTAAGCCATGAGCTTTGGCCGCACATCCAGATATAAAACATAACAAGAGGCTTCCGTTTCCTGGACCCTCCCCTGCTCAAGCTGTTGTCAGTTCTCAACGGTGTCTTTTCACAGCATGAGGAAAATATTTTGCAGTCTAAAAAGGTGAAGCACAGCCTAATGAAGCTTAACCAAAATATTTTTGCATGCTTGGGTTCCTCTCCACCCTGAATGGGGGTAGGTTTTGAGTACACTAAAGCCAAAAAGAAACCTACACACCCTTTCCTTTTATGCTGCAGTAACTCTCTGCTGTGACAGTTACAGGCAGAATATTGTGTCCACTAAAGTGAGAGGAGAAAGGTGTGAGGATGAAGGAAATATCTGAGAAATCATTGGTCGATGTTGCAAATATATTGTGTCACATGTGTGTTGTGGAAAGATTACAAAATGATTAATATGTGTTTTGAGTTTTGTATTTTATACCCTTTGTGATGAAAGATGTCGTTGAAGATTACAAATAGGATAGATAGGATTTTGTGTTGATTCCAAAGTTAAAATGTGAGAAAGCAAAGAGCCTCATGGAGTGAGAAGTCAGAGACTTTTGATAGACCAGAGGTGAAATGAGGGGAACCTGAACCAGGATATTAACTATAAAAAAGGACAGGAATTCAGTAGTTCTAGATGTAGATTTGGGATCACAAAAGCTGTAAAAGTCTCCCTAGGAGCATGAATAGAATTCTGGAAAAAAAAAAAGAAAGAAAATGAAACAACCTGCAGGGAGACAGGTAAAATAAAGCACAAGAACCAGGATAATTAGGTTTTGGATGCCCGAAGAAAATAAAATAACCTAAAGTCTAACAAATACTTTATTAAAATAAACTCATCTGCATTTAACTTTCCATCCTGATGATTTGGCTGGTAGTGCTTCATAACTCAGAGAGATTCTACCTTTTCCTACCAAAGCAAGATTAATTTTACGTATTGTTCAAATTTTGTCTTTCTTAGTAGGTTTCAGCAGTAGCCTTTGACAGTTATACAAATAAAATGTTCCTCTACTGTGTTATCGCTGAGGTAATTTCAGCTTGAAAGTTTAGGTTTTATGAGAGTACATCGTGAGGAAAGAATTTTGAAAGGGCCTCAGAGAATAGGATCATATCACTAGGATCAGTAGCTTTTAGTTATTGAAGATTCATTCGAAAAAATTGTAGATTGAAATAGGTGTAAACAAAATGATGTCTTCAGTCCATTTTTTGACTAGCCAAAATTGCCTCTGTCAAAGGACCTGCATGCCCATTCTTCATTCTGAAAGGTCTACTTTCATACGGTTGAAGTAGAATTAAAAGAAATTTGGCAGCAAAGTTTTCTTTTAATGAAGGAAGGTATGTACATGGCATGATTATACACATGAATACACAGAAGCCAATTTTGACCTTGGATTTTTGTTTAACTATTTGATCCATGAGAAAATGCTTCTTAACAGATAAACCGCTATTGCCAAATCTTTAGAACTGAAAAAACTTGTACATGTTGCCTAACTAATATGAAGAATGCAATACTTAAAATGTCCCCAAATTGGAAATTTCTGAATGTCAGCGCTCATTCTGTTTTTTCTTTTAATCAGAGATATTTAGCTGGCAACATCTATGCAAATATTTCAAGATCTGCAACATTCCATAGTCAGAAAGAAATACCTCTAGCCCCAAGTATATTAGTTAAGGAATTTTCTATTGTAACATAAGCAGAAAAAAATAGACTTGAAAATTGGTCTAGATTTGATCCTTTTCTGCTTGTATTTGTGAAAATATAAAGCATAAAAAATTCTCATGGAGTAAAATAAAAATCAGCTTTGAAAGATTTATGGTTATAGGAAGAACATGAAGCAAATTTCTATGTGCTTGGCTACGTCTGTGTTTCTTTGTTGCTTCCTAATTTCTGTCTCAGCATTGAATTTAGCTTTCCTGTGGATCTGAGCTTGGTCTTCCATTTCTTCTTACTTGTTATCTTGGCCTTACAGATAAGGAGAGATGATTTTGCTTTTCTGAACTTAGCAATATCTCTTAGATCAGAACTCGTATTCCTATACTCTTGCATAATTAGTTACTCACAGTCTGAGCCTTTATTGGACTTCTTCAATTAAATGTTCCAGGCAGTACAAAATGCAGTTGTTCCAGGCTGAACTAATGACTTTCCCTCATATATCTAGACCAGTGTGTGTGTGTGTGTGTGTGTGTGTGTGTGTTTGACTGCAGATGCTTACGCATGGGACCTTTTTTTTTTTTTTGTGGAACGGGGGATGAACTCAGGCCCTTGCACTTGCCAGGGAAGTGCTTATTCCACTGAGCCACCTCCCACCCCAAGCTTGTGGTCTTGATTTCATTTTATTTCTGCTATTCTTTCATTGCATTAGATGCAGTTCTACACAGTTTATAGCTTCTTCCTATATAAATCCTGTGTGTATTCTCCATTCTCACTCAGATCTTTCATGCTATGTGATGGCAGCAACTCAGGTTCCTTAATTTCTGAATTCCATTTATTTTTGTAGATTGCTGGCTGCTAAATTTTCCTGGACTGGACTGTATCTAAAACCTGTGCCTGTCTGTTTGTTTTGTCTCATTCACAATAACAGCCTGGCTCAAGCTCTCTTTTTGGCCACATTACCTTCTTTATATCCACATATCCAGAAAAACTAGCACATGTGTTCTTCAGATAGACTTCTGTCCATATTGGTAATGCTGCGGAAACCCTTTTCTTGCCCTTTTCCATACCTGTGCAGCTCAGTACAAGGTACTTTCACACTTTAACCTAACCTCTTTTGCAATGACTACAAGTTTAAATTATGTCTCTCCATTAATCTGGCAGTCACAATTGTGACACATAACTATAAACTACTTACTATAGTGTGTGTGTGTGTGTGTGTGTGTGTGTGTATATATATATGTGTGTGTGTGTGTGTGTTGCTAGATATGTTTAATGTAGGATTATATGTAACAGTAAATTACAGAACACTATTAAAATAGATATGGCTTGAGAAAATAGTTACATACATACAGTGTTGTGGAAAATTTATCGTGGAAAATATATGTACAACTACACAAAATAGTGATTACTTGCATTTGTCCATGTTTGCAAGGGTGGTAGTTAAAATTATGAGGGACTTTTTAATGTGGTCCAAAAATGGTAGTATTTGCTAATACTAAATGATGTTTACTGGTGTTCGTTGCATTTGTATTTGGTAAGTTTTAAATGAAACTTAGTAATGGAGACATGAGTGTTGTACTTTACATATGTATTTACATGTCAAGTATGCTTTGATACTTATTACTCGGTGTGATTTCTTCTTGCAAATACACGTAAGAGAATTTAGACTGTGGGGTTACAACTAGCAAGGACGTATTTGAATGGATGCCACAAGGCTTACAAATCATTAAAAATTAGTTTCACTTATTTGTATGTAAATTATATCATGAAATGTGTTTAATTCATTTGTTTGTGCTGATTTCTGATGGAGACCAAAGAGACATTAATGTTATATGTTTGTTTTGTGATTATCTAGGTATGATCAACAAAACCCTGATCTTCGGACATCTAGAGGAAGAGATGACCACGTAATTAGACCTTTTGCTCACTATTATTTTATTCATGTTTTCTCTGCTAGTTCAAAATAAGGCTTAAAACTTTGTGTTATAATAAAAATTGAAGTTTTCAGGATAGTAATACCAGTGTTAGATTTTTAAAAAAGCTACATGTAGCATTTTTTGGAAGGAAGATATTTGCTACATTTGTACTCAAGTCAAGGTTAGCCTAAATTAGACTTAATTTTTTTTCGTTGAGAAATAAATATGAATGAGACATCAGTGCAGCCACCTGGCTCACAGACACAAGCATATACAGATAGTCAGGGGGAGAATCTCATCAGCCAACTGCTAGTCTCAAAAACATGCCGATGTACCCCAGAATCACTGCCCCACCCACCTCGAGTGTACAGATGCATGGCTTTGCCCCTGTCATGTTTCCCAGCTTTTCTTCTTGCCAACTCCTCATTGTCCAATCCTCAAGTTCTCACTTTCCTTTTATTTGTGTTGTAAATTTCTATATGTAATTCCTCTTTTAAGTTCTTATACTAGGGAGACAATATAGTAATTACACACGTAGGTCTGATATATTTCACTTATCAGTATATCTTCAAATGGCATCCTCTTAAATATGAAGGCTTCGAGTTTATCATTCTTTATAGCTGAGTAATACTCCATTATATAAAAGTATCACATCTTTTTTTAACCATTCCACATGTGATGGGCATCTTGGTTGTTTCCAAGATCTAGCTATCACAAGTTGTGCTGCTATAAACATAGATATGCATATATCACTATGATACGATGCTTTCAGATCCTCCGGGAAAAGTCCCAGTAGGGGGATAGCAGGCTTGAATGCACTTTCCAGTCCTAATTTTCTAAGGAGTCTCCACACTGACTTCCATAATTGTTGCACCAGTCTACACTCCCACCAACAGTGGAGAAGTGTTCCCTTTTCCCCACAGCCGCTCTAACATTTGTTGTTGGTTGATTTCTTTCTGATAGCCATTCTTTCTAGGGTGAGATGGTATCTCAGTGTTGTTTTAATTTGCATTTCACAGATGGCTAGTGACAAGGAGCATTTTTTCATAAATTTATTCGCTTTAATTTCATCCTCTGAGAAGTGTGTGTTCATCTCGGATGTCAGTTTCTGGACTGGGTCTTTAAATTTTGGGGCCCTAATGTTTTTTTATCTCTTTATAAATTCTAGAGAACAGACCTTTGTTTGAGTGCTTATTAGTTATACTTATTACTTATTTTTTTGAAGTTTGTGGGTTGTCTTTTCATTTTGTTGGTAATTTCTTTTGATGTGGAAAAACTTCTCAGTGAGAGCAGGTCCCAGTTGTTAATTCTTTCAATTGTTTCCCATGTAATTAATTTTTGTTCAAAAACTCATTGTCTACCCCTATGTCTTCAAGAGTTCCTCCTACTTTCCCTTCCAGGAGATTTAGTGTCTTTGTTTTAATGTTTAGATCTTTAATCCATTTTGACTTTAGCTTAGTGCATGGTGATAGACCTGGATCAAGTTTTAGTTTTTGGCATGTAAAGAGTCAGTTTTTCCAGCACCATTTGTTAAAGAGGCTATCTTTCTTCCAATGAGTATGTTTGGCCCCTTTGTCAAAGATAGTCAGCTGAGTGTGTTCGTAGGGGCTTCAGCACCTTCTAATCTATTCCATTGATCCTCAAGTCTATTTTGTTGCCAATACCATCTTGATTTTATTACAGTAGCTTTGTAACATAATTTTAAGTCATAATTATAATTCCTCCTGCCTTGTCTTTGTTGGCCAGGATTGCCTTTGCTATTCTAGGTGTTTTTGGTTCCAAGTAAATTTTAGGAACAATTTCTCTAGGTCTGCAATGTATGTTGTTGGTAGTCTCATAGGGATTGCATTAAATCTAACAACAATTTGGGAGCACTGCCATCTTCACGATGGTGGTTCTTCCTGTCCAGGAGCAGGGAATATCTTTCTATTTTCTGAAATCCTCTACAATCTCTTTTTTCATAGTACTGTAATTTTCTATGGAAAGATCTTTGATTTCTTTTGTTAGTTGAATTCCAAGGTATTTCATTTATTGTGGGGCTATTGTAAAAGGTATTGATTCTCTAATTTTCCTCTCAGTGTGTTTGTTATCTGTGTAGAGGAAAGCTATTGACTTTTGGGTGTTGACTTTGTATCCTGCTATGCTACGGAATTTGTCTATCAATTCCAGTAGCTTCTTGGTTGAGTTTTTTTTGTGGCTTCCAAGTAAAGTATCATGTGAACTGTAAATAATGATAGTTTCACTTCTTCTTTACCTATTCTTATTCCTTTTATTTCTCGAGCTTGTCTAACGGCTCTAGTTAATGATTCCACAACTGTATTGAATAGGAGTGGTGATAGAGAACATCCTTGTCTTGCACCTGATTGGAGAGTAAAAGATTTCAGGTTTTCCCCATTGAGAATTATATTAGTCATTGGGTTGTCTTAGGTGGCTTTTATCAGATTGAAGTAGAGGCCTTCTATTCCAATTTTATGTAGGACTTTGAACATGAATGAGTATTGGACTTTGTCAAAAGCCTTTTATGCATCAATGGAGATGATCTGTGGATTTTAGTTTTTGCTCTATTGATACAGTGTATTACATTTATAGATTTTCAAATATTGAAACATCCTTGCATCCCTGGAATGAATCCTACCTGGTTATGTTGTATCATCTTGGTGATTTACTGTATTCTATTTGCTAGGATTTTATTAAGGATTTTTGCATCTATGTTCATGAGGGAGATTGGTCTGTAGTTCTCTTTCTTTGTTGCATCTTTCTCTGGTTTTTGATTCAGTATAATACTTGCCTCCAGGAATGATTTTGTGAGAACTCTCTCCTTTTCAACTTCAGTGAAGAGTTTGAGGAGTGTAGGGATTATATCTTCTGTGAATTTCTTGTAGAATTCAGCTGTGAATCCATGAAGAGCTAGACTTCTCTTTGTTAGCAGCCTCTTTATTACATTTCATATTTCATTGGCATTTATTGGGTTATTGAGAGTTGTTATATCATATTGATTCAGTTTTGGTAATTTGTATCTTTCTAAAAATTTGTCCATTTTGTCTGTGTCTTCTATTCTGTGAGCATAAAGATTCTCAAAGTAGCTATTGATAATCTTCTGAATTTCCACTGAGTATGTAGTAGCTACACCCTTTTCATTCCCTATTGCTTGTATTTACATTTTTTCTTTCCTCTTTTTAATGAGGTTGGCTAGGGGCTTGTCAATTTTATTTAAACTTTCAAAGAACCAGCTTTTTGATTCGTTAATTCTTTGAACTGTTTTCTTCATCTCAATTGAAATAATTTCTGCTCTAATCTTTATGATTTCTTCCGGTGTTTGCGTTCTTGGTTTGGTTTGCTCTTCCTTTTTTAGATGTTGGAGGTGCAGCATTAGGGTGTTTATTTGTTCCCGTTCTGTTTTCCTAATGTGTGAGTTCACAGCTATGAATTTCCTTCTAAGAACTGCTTTCATCGCATCTGTTAAGTTGTGGATGAATTTTCGCTGAATTGTAGATAATGTTGAATTTCTTGTTTAATTTCATATGTAACCCATTGATTGCTGAATAGGATGTTGTTTAATTTCCATGTATATATGAGATTTTTCTGGTTTCTTTTGTCATTTATTTCCAGCTTCATTACACTGTGGTCAGATAATTTGTATGGGATAATTTCTGTTTTCTTGCATATACTTAACCATGATCTATGTACTAGTATGTGGTCTATTTTAGAAAGTGATCCATGTACAACTGAAAAAAATGTGTATTCTACTGTGGTTAGGTGGAGCACTCTGTATATGTCTACCAAGTCCATTTGTTCCAAGCTCTCATTCAGTTCTGCTACTTCTTTGCTAATTTTTTGTCTGGTCGATCTATCTTTTTGGGATCAGGGGGTGTTAAGGTTTCCTGTTAAGATTGTTGTATTGGATATTAGATTTTTCATGTCTATTAAGGTTTGTCTTATACAGTTGGGTGCTCCTGTGTTTGGTGCATACATATTTATGAGTGTTATTTCTTCCTCTTGAATTTTACCCCTAACCAGTATATAGTGGCCTTCTTTATTTAGTTTGATCATCTTGGTTTGAAGTTGAGACTGTCTGAGAAGAAGATTGCTACCCCTGCTTTTTTTTTTTTGAAGTGCTGGGGCATGTAGTATTGTTTTCCACCCTTTGATTTTCAGCCTATGAGTTTCTTTATGAGTTAAGTGTGTTTCTTGTATACAACACATTGTTGGGTTTTGTTTCCTAATCCATTGTGCCAATCTATTTCTCTTAATTGGTGAAGTGAGTCCATTTACATTGGTGGTTATAGTTGAGAAATGTTGACTTATGATTGACGTGTTATTTACCTGTTGTAGTTTACTCCTTTTTCTCCTCTTTAATTGCTTGCCCTATTTAGTGGGTTCCCTCTGTTATCGTTGGTGGAGTTTTGATCTTTGGTCTCTCTCTAGAACATCTTTCAGTAGTCTGTGTAGGGTTGGCTTTGTCATCATGAAATTCTTTAACTGTTCTTTGTCATCAAAGTATTTCACTTCTCCATCAAACTTGAAAGAGAGTTTTTCAGGGTATATTAGTGTGGGCTGGAATTTGTTTTCATAGAGGACTTGAAGTACTCTGCTCCATGCTCTTCTTACCTTCATGGTTTGTGAAGAAAAGTCATCCTTAATTCTGATGGGTTTTCCTTTCAATGTGATCTGCTTCTTTTCTCTAGTGGCTTTCAGTATGATATTCTTGTGCTGGATTTCTGGGATCTTGACTATTATATGTCTCGGTGCATTTTTAATTGGGTTGAAGTTATGTGAAGTTCTGTATGCTTCAGTTACCTGAATATCAGATTGTTTCCTCATATTTGGGAAGTTTTCTGCTATTTCTTCTACTCATATTCTTTGTGTATCATTTGTATTGACTCCTTCTTTCTCATTGATGCCTATTAGTCTCACATTGTTCATCTTTGCATCATCTTGCAGGTTATAAATTATTTTTTCCTGCCTCCTATTTGTTTTTAAATGATCTTTTCTTATCTTTTCACTAGCTGCACCAGCATCTTCAAGATCTGAAACTCTATCTCCAGTTTCACTCAAATAGTTTTGCAGGCTTGTGATTGAGATTTTATGTTCCTTTGCATCTCTTTGACTCTGCTTCATGCGATCTATTTCTTTCCTGTATTGCTCATTCAAGGAATCCATCATTTTTTTAATCTCCTGTATTTTTTCATCAATGTCTTCTTTAGAAGCAGTTATTAATCCTTTTTCTGCTGAGTTTTTTATAGGTTGGGCTTTTCTCCATATGTTTCTGTATTTTATTCTTTAGTTCACATGCTATGAATTCAGAGATTTCTTTTTTCATTTTAGACACTAATTCAGCTTTGAGTTTCTTTGAACTTTTCTGCAGGTCCTTATATACTTCTGACACTACGAATTCATATATTTTAGCTAAGCTAGTGTTCACTGCTTTTGTTCTAGGTTGGCATTGTGTTTCCTCCATATGTTTCTGGATTTGATTCTTAAGTTCAGATGCTATGAATTCAGAGTTTTCTTTTCTTTCTTTCTTTTTTTTTGTTCCAGAAATTCTGCTCTGTGTTCCTCTATATCTTTCTGCTGTTGTTTATTTACTTCTGAAGCTATTGATTCATTTATTTCAGCTGAGCTAGTGTCCTCTGCACCTTTTATGGGTGGGCTCAAGGCTTGAGATTGCATTTTTCTCCTTGTCTTTATTATTTCGTATAGCACTGACCGCTGACCTTTGGTGTAGATGTTTGGTGCAATTATATCTTTATCACTTAATGAAATTTGGGTACTATATACCAAGTTCTAGTTCATGCAGTTGTGCCTGGCTTGGGTCTGGCTACTATGCTCAGCTCCTTATTGTTGTGGCCCATGAAGGTGGGCCTGCTAAACCCCTCTGGTAAGATGTTCTGTTCTTGCATTAGATGTGTCTTTTTGAGTCTCGTCTCACTGCATGGATTTTAGCTGCAGGGTTTTACCCCAAGCCTGTATGTCTGGGCTGGGTCTGGAGGGGTATGAGGAGCAGAGGCAAGAGAGCGCAGAAGCTCTCCCACATACTCACCAGAGCTGTGCTTTGATGGGTCTGCAGGACTCCCAAGAGCCCAGCGGAAGTTCTCACTCACAGGATGGGCTGTGCTGGCTATGGGATGGACAGGGGAGGTCTGGAGAACACGGAGAAAGGCCTCTCTCATGCGGAGGGCCTGGACTTGGACTGGTGGGCGGGTGCAGGACAGAGCAGAAGGCTCTCCCCCACACTTGCAGGGCCTGGGGTTGGTCAGATATGTAAATTACACGTAAGAATGGAGTGGGAAATAAAGAATACCCTACATAGGAAAATTAGGGTAAAGTAACCTTGAAAAAAATATACTTGAGTTATGAATCATTTTCTTTTTTCTTTCTATTTATTTATTTATTTATTTATTTTTGCAGTACCTGGGATTGAATTCAGGACCTTAATCATCTTCAAAGAATTTGTAGTTATTAGTTTACCTCTTGGGTGTTGTTAATTATATAGTAATAAGATCAGCCAACAGGAATTTTTAAAATTCAGCATCTCATTTAAACAAAGAAATAAAACATCCTGGAAGAAATGCAGTCACTCTGACCTTAGCTTACCTCTAGAAATCTGTGTTAAAGATTTACACATTCAGAAGTTTACTTGCTAGAATAGTTTATAACAGATTTCTAACGATGTTTCAGGAAATCAGAAGATAATGATTCTGCATTATTCTATACATGATATGAGAATTCTGAAGACTATGAAACCAATTGTTTATATTTTTCAGGTTGAAATTCTTCTGGATATTTTTGTGGAAAGTCATTGTTTTTTACATTGGGAAAACCAGCATACAGGAATAATTTGAAACATATCACTTAAAGTACTAATTGTAAAAGCACAAGTTCTACTTGTGAAATTGGATTTGCTTATAGGTCTCTCTTGCTATTAACACTTGAATAATAATTATTGAGTTAACTGGGAGCTAAAGTCCACTGTCCCATTTATATCTTTTCTGATAAGTACATGGAAATAGCAGAAGTGTAGCCTGGAAGAAGATCTGTGTAGCACAATCCCCCATGAGTTGGCACAGAGTTGTGAGCCACAGCATGAGCGACTATCTGCTTACTTCTTTCCATTCCAAACATGTAGCTGCCACCCATCAATTGTTGCTGATGTAGTGAAAGTAGCCAGTCTATGGTGATGCATTTTACCTGGTACTGTATAGCCTACACACTCATTCACAACCACAGGCATTGTCTGTGTACATTTTGCCAGGCGCTGGCCTACATATATTCATGTGTGACTACCTTACTACTCTTATCTTTATTTTCATTTTACTAGTTGGGAAACTGAGGTTTGGGTAGGTGCAGCAGCTTTCCAGAGACTGTAGAACAGTGAAAAGTGGAAACCACTCATAACCATTCCTCTGTATCGACACTGATGTAATTGGATGCTGACCATCCACTCTGCTTGTTGTATCCCCTTTTTATCTGTTAAGGATGTTGAGATATGAGGAAATTTATAAAAGTAAGAATGATTGGTCTGTCTAGGAGAGGTGCACTGACTGGGAAATAGCAGATATGATCTATTTTACTGTTTTTCAGATATGCCTATTATTATACTGGAATCGGTGCTGGTGTGCTTATTGCTGCTTACATCCAGGTTTCATTTTGGGGTCTGGCAGCTGGAAGACAGATACACAAAATTAGAAAAAAGTTTTTCCATGCTATCATGAAGCAGGAGATAGGCTGGTTTGATGTGCGTGATGTTGGGGAGCTGAATACCCGCCTCGCAGAGTAAGTAGCTAGTTGGATGTGTAAATCAGACATGGTTCTTATTGCAAACGAAATGAGATAGATGTCATTAGGTCTCTTAGAGATGTTAGTACACCCCTCAGAAGACTGTGTTCCTTCTGAGTATTAGCCATGTCTTGTGTACCTGGCATGAGATGGTGGGACACTCTTGACTGTCAGTGAAGGAGGAAGTAGACCTAAATCAAGGAATACCTGGAGAATGTGCAGGAAAGTATGCAGTAGACCAATAACATGATTCTTGCTGATTTGGTTTCCAAGCAATTTGAAATTTCTGCACTGTATATTTCTTGAGTAACCATGTTCATTTCCTGGGGCCATATGGTCTATGGTTTTCTGTTGTCAGTGACAAATTTTCTACTAGGATCTGACACCTTGCTAAATGAAACTAGATAAGAACAGATATGAATGCTCAATGAAACTAGATGTGAACTGACTTATGCCACACTCAGCAAATGAAACAAAATGCAACAAAACAAAACACAAAACTGGATAGAGGAGAAATGTTCTGTGTTTGTAATTCTGACATGGCTCTTAACATTATGTTTTCTTTAGTGATATCTCCAAAATTAATGAAGGAATTGGTGACAAAATTGGAATGTTTATTCAGTCACTGGCAACATTTTTGGCTGGTTTTATAGTGGGATTTACACGTGGTTGGAAGCTGACTCTTGTGATTTTAGCTGCCAGCCCTGTTCTTGGACTCTCAACTGCAATCTGGGCAAAGGTAGGTGGTGTCAAATTTGAGCTTACTCCGTACATCCCATGGGAGAGTCTTGAATGATGATAGGCCCAATGTTGTGTTTCGTACTTGCTTGTATGTCTGCTGCTCAAAATCAACAGTACAAACTGATGCAGTCTCACTGAGTGCTGCCCCTGCCCAGGCTCTGTACTGTCCTGGACCATGTGATTATTTAGAAAAGTGTGAGAAAGACAGAGGTAGCTCTTACATTTTATCTTCTGTTGGCTCAAACAAACAAAAAACAGGAACTAAACTGAAAAATTTGTGATTGGTAGAAAAACACCAGTCACACAATAGCTAGAGATTTAAGTTAGTGAAACTCACATGTGTCTCATTCCATTAACACTATTTAGTTTAAGTGGTTTTTAAAAAATTTTGTATGCTTTGTATACTTGCTATATTGATTTGACAGTTTTGTCATCAGTGTGTTTGTTTGTTTTTATATGTTTAAATGCATCGTTACCAAATGATTTAAGAGAAGAGATGTTTCCCAGCCCTTTATTCTTATAAATCGCTAGCCTCCAGTTCTCTCACCCAGTTGTGAAGGCAGTGCAGTAGGAGTGACCCCCCCCCACCTTTGAACACATGCCTTCAATGATTTTGTAGAGCTTATTTTTGTTCCCTGAGTAGGGATGGTATTCATTTTATGAACAAAGGTGATTTAATACTGTTCCAATATATAGTTTTCGTTATGTTACACATATTTTGAAAATATTCAATGAATTTGCAAAGCAAAAAGATATAAATATGAAGAAAAATAAGTCAGACTATACTTGGAAGTTTTAGAAAAAGTTCCATTTGAGATAGATTTTCTAAAATTTCAAACTGCAATTTCCATTTATTGACCATCTGATATGTGTAGCAAATACACAGCTTTTTTTTGTTCTAAAATGTAGGTATGATTCCATTTTGTAGAAGAAGAAACTGAAAGTTCTGTTAATTTGTTACTGACTGTATTAGGGTTTAAATGGTCTTCCTCATGGTTATCAGTTAGTTGAAATGTTGACAAGTTGCTGATGTCAATTGATTTTTCTGTTTACTAAAATTTTAAGCAAGCTATATTCAAACTCTTCACATCAGCACTTATTGAAACCATGTTAAGTTCAATGATTTCTGTTTTGGTGAAGTTAGAAAAGCAAACAATCTTTAATAAGGAATTATGCATTGTTTGGAATGCTGTTTATGTCATAAAAGGACTCCTCCTGCTGGCTGTTGAGACCTCAGTTTTAATCCTTACTCTGCCATAGACTTTTGGTGTCATTTTAAGCATATTTCTTGAATTATTTGATCATCAGTTACATTAAAAAGAAGTATACCCTACTTTGGTAAGCCTGTTTCTCCCTATGAACTTGAGGCTCTCTTCCCTAACTAAAGAACTCATAACAAACAAAAAACCCAGCAGAGATCCAAACACAGCAAACAGCCTGGACCAGAAAGTCCTTTTCTACCTTGTCTTCAACTCTTCTACCTGCTCAGAAACATTGGGGCAGGTAGAGAGCACTGGTAGGAAAATCAGTGTGTTCTCCTCCTACCAATAAGTATATTGTAGCCTGACCTTGATAATCCACTTCAGTTTTCTCAGGAAGCACAAGCAGGAGTTGGTGGAAGGCCAAAAAAAAAACAAAACAAAACCAAACATAACACCCTGGAGAAACCACACTGGGAAAATTAAGGCTGCAGACGTATAAATATTAAATGGCTACTGGAGCTATGGGTCACAGAAGTAAGGAAAAGAGTCCCATGTTAGATCAAGAAAGTGACTTGATTTGAATAGATTTCAAAGTCTCTGAACAAAATAGATAAAACATCCATGACACTATAGAAAATCACCTGGTTTATCAAGCAATAAAATCATAAATTGAATGAGGAAATAAAAAGCCTTAACTGACTCCAACACTGAAATAGAACAGACAGTGGAATTATCTGACAAGGATTTTTAAGCAGCTATGACAAAAATGTTTTTGCAACTAATTACAAATTCTTGGGAGGCAATAGATAAAATAGAAAACACAAGCCACAAAATTCAAGTTATTTAAAAAGAACAAAATGAAACTGGAAAACTAAACAGCCACACTGGGGAGGCTCATTCTGTTAAATTCAGTTGACAGAGTGGAGTGTGTGACCCCAAATAGGATAAACTCAGAGAAATCGCTAAGTGAAGTTCTTCAAAAGGAATGGATGGGTGGGGATTTGGCTCAGCAGTAGAATGCTAGCCTAGCAAGCTGTAAACCCTGGATTTGGTCCTTGTCACAAAAATCAAAAAATAAAACTCCCCTAAAAAATAGTTCAACCAAAAAGGAACGGAATTGGTAACAAAAGGAATATTAGTGTCATTAACAAGAAAAAACAACAGTGAAAAGGTAGCAAGATGGACATATGCAGCACACTTTTCCTAAAGAGAGTTATAAATCATACTTGATGGTAAAACAAAAATTGTGAGTAGTAAATGTTCATACCGGTAGACTTTTACAATACACATATAAACATTACAATATCCATAGAGACCACTATGAATGCCATGTAAAAAATACAAAAAATACAAAACATTTATCACATTAGATCATATTCCATGCCATAAAACATATGAAGGAAATGAAAAAAAATTAAAGCCATAAAGTTTACTTTTTCTAACCCTAGCCATGTCAGATTGGAGGCAATGACAGACAAGAAAACCTCTGAACATACGGAAGTTAAACAGTACAGTTATGTAGCTCATTGGTTAAACAGGAAATCCCAAAGGAAATTAAAAATACATAGATCAACATAAAAATATCTGGAATGCACCCAAGGGAGTGCCTTTGGAGAGGAATATATTGATAATAATTTATGTAGTTTGTTAGTAAGGGAAATGCTGCCTTCATATTATTTCATGTTGTAAGAATTGTAGAAGCTGGCTGTTTGTATCCTAAGAATAGTTTTGAAAATGTATTTATTATTTTAACAGATAGACTCTTTTTTTTTTTCGAAACCAGGGATTGAACTCAGAACCTTGCACTTCCAGGGAGGCGGTTAATCCACTAAGCCATCTCTCCGGTGCCCAGATAGACTTTTAAAACAAGCAATAATAAATATTCTGTTCTTATCTGCTTGCTTATAGCTTTGGAAATTCATGGAAGGACAAAGGAGTGAAATATATTGAATTCAGGGTGGTACGTCATATGTTAACGATAAATTGATAAGTTAACAATAGATAGCATACATCTAAACTCCTAATTAAAAAATGTGTTGCAGTCATCCTCCTGTTACTGTGTTCAGGGTGGGCAGTTGTGGCGTTGTGAGACTTCAGGAAGAGAAGAGAACCATTGCCAAACCGAGGGGCACGAGTTGTCTGTATTCTGCTCACTCTGTTCAGTGATGGTACTGAGCCTTTTAACTCACACCCAGTGCTGGGAGGATTCAGGAAAGTATGATGCTCAGCCCTAGAAAGATGACTTTGAGAAGTCAGGAAGGTAACAGATAGAATCAGATAGCCAAAGATAACAGATTGACTCCATAATATCTGCACAGAGAAGATCATCAGTGTCTGTTTGGGGCTGGGATGTAGCGTAGTAGTAGATCTTTTGCCCCACATATGCAAAGCCCTAGGTTCAGCATGGAGCACACCACCAAAAAATGTCTATTTGCTTTAATGTGTTTCATTTGCTTCTATCTACCCATTCCTGCATCTATCATAACTCCCTTTACTTTTGCAGACATTAAGGAAGAAATATACTGTTTATAATCAAAATAATGTTGAAAACATCAAAACTTAAATTTATATATCAAAAGACCATAATGATCTTTATTTTTTATTATAAGTTGGTTGTATGTAATATATACTTGGATGGTTGTCCACTATACACTCCTCGTAGATACAGTAACTTAAGTCTTTTGATATCCTCTAGTGATTCTTGTTAATTCAGCAGTTAGACTCAGACTTGAATCCTTCATATTTTACTTTTTTACTTTTTTTATTAATTTTACTGAGAAACAAACAGCAATGAGACAGTTTCAAAACCAATTAGTAGAACAGTTTTAATAATTAATACATTGAATATTGTTGTCTTCATAGTGGTTATTC